GGTTGGCCTGAGTGGCCAAGTTTGTCAGTAACACTATATCCGTCGGAATGAGGGATATTACAGTCGGAGGGAAATCCGCCTGAACGCGAGGGTTCGCCTGATTTGGCGAGCCCATCGGCGTTGGTAGGGTTTCTTCTCTGTCTTGCACTTTTCGGACCCGAATAATAATTTAGGCTGTCGTATGGGGCGAGGGTTCGGGCCTCCTGTTGGACGAGGACCTGTCGTCACCGCTGGTGGGCTCTTCTAGAAAGCGGAGCGTCCATGTGGACCGTGACGACGTGGTCTGCGCCCGGATGAACCACCATCTCTTCCTGAGCGGGGGGCCGCGAGGATCATTTGGCGACCCATCTGGCAGCCTTTCGCCTCGTGCTCTCGACCTCTGGCTTGGTCTTGATCATTTCGGAGGGAGTAGGCTCCCCCAGCGTAACTCGGATAGAGTCCTCAGGCACGGAGACTTTGACCGTTTGAGGTCGGCCTCTACGCACGACTCTGTGGCGTTTGCGGGACGCATTGCCACCAGAGGAGGAGGAAGACAAATATTCCTTGTACTTGGCTTGGTCGAACTCGATTTCTAGGGACTCCACGGTCACCCCAACAGCAACCTCGTCGAACTGCGCTACCACCATTTCGGTTAAGGAAATAGTTTTTCCCACTGTGATCGCCATTTTTTGTAAGTGTAAATATTAATTTCCCGAAACGGGGGTATATTTGTATTGATAAGAATAGCTTATTACAAACTAATATATCGAAATTACAACAAAAACGGAGGGAAGGCCATCATTGTTTAACGTGGGGACTTTAGTAGCGATAGGACGCCTCGCTCGGTTCTCGCACCGAGTCTGTTTTCCTTGGACGATTCGATCGAGGTTGCTGGTGAGCTTTAGTACGCAATAGAAGCTCGTGCTGGTCGAGTTCGAGTTTTTGAGTTCGATGGCGATCAGGGCCCGAAGCTAGGAGAGGATGCTACAGTGCAAAGGTCATGCAAAGAGCTTGTCGTCAACTCAGTCGAGAGTCGAGAGCTAGTTGTTTAGCTAACTAATTAAATTAATCAATTAACTATGAGCGAACCTCTTTTTTGTAGTCAGGAGAGATTCTTAAATAGAGGAGAAACGATGTGGTTACTCCCTTGAATCATGGGATGTGACCATGTACTGTTGGGAGATACCATGCCTTTCGCATATACCATGAGCGGCTGCTTGATGGGCTCGAAGCACTGTACTCCTTCCCTTCACGTCGTGAGGAGTGGGAAAGCCCATCCTTGTACGTGCTATTGCGGCTGCCAGGCACTAGCTCGGCGAGCTTGTCGATCACGGGCGGGTCCAGCTCTTGACTCGTGCAGGCGAGGTGAGCTTCAGTCGTGAGCATGCAGGCGGACTTGACGATTGCATGGATTTGACTGGTCGCTCGTACTGTGAGCGGGTACTTGATGGGCTCGGAGTACTGTGCTCATTCCCTTCACGTCGTGAGAAGTGGGAAGGCCCATTCCTGTACGTGACATAGCAGCTACCGAGTACCCTGACGAGTCTGGCGAGTTTATCATTTGTAGGCGGATTCGGCTCTTGACTCATGCTGGTGGGTCAGGTTTGCGGGCGAGTCTCTAATCACCTGGCGGATTGCCCAAGTGTAGACAAATTTGAGGATCACGTAGCCCTGGTTTGTGCTGGCGAGTCAAACACACGGGTGAGCCCGATTTTCAAGCGAGTAAGCAGGCGGATTTCAGTCTTATTTGCAAAGGTAATTTTTACCGTCTACAACGATATATTTTATATTTCTTCAGTATTCAGTTGTTCAGTCATGTATAAGGGCATGTTGATCCGAATATTATGTCTTGGATGATATTCACTTGTGTTATGGATATTCTGTTCTGAGTTATTTATTATATTCTTGCTACTGTGATCGGGGACCTGTGACTTCGCATTTTTTTTTACGCTTAGCGTATTAGATTGGGTAGAAAGAGTTTAGTATTTATTTCTTCTCAGTCTAATACGTCACAGACTTGTTCGCGTCCCAATTTCCGGGTATTTTGGGAAGCGGGGTGTGATAGGTTTTTATGGTGGCTCATGTAGGTCTCGGTCCCGAGTCCCTACCAGTGAGAATATAATGAATAATTTAAACGCATATCATATTTCATCCGTAAGACTATTCCTAAGCCTTTATCCTAGTATCTTGATAAGTTATGTCTTAGTCCATATCTTATCACTTTTTGATTCCAAAACTTCCTCCTGTTTCTTGTCTCGTCACTTCCTGACTACTCTCTTCTTATAACTTCTCTTTCCTCGTACTGGTCATTATTTTATGTGTTATTATTTTTACTCTATGTTTCCTTTGATTTGACTTGTGTATCGTTTGATTGTATTGATTTCTGCATTATTTATTGCATTATTTTATGTATCACACACAGTATTATATTGTATGTCTTTTAAAAATATATAAGTAACATAGTATAATGAAAAATATTACTTATACATTTTCAACTGTTCCAATCATGTTTATTAAGTATTTCGCATTGCTCTAGCCTTCACATATACATCACATATCATATTTGATGTTCAGATTATTTTCTTGTGTTTAATTTACTTTTACATATCTACATTATGTATGTGTATGCATTTTCTGTCATATCATCTATCATTTACTTATGTTCTAGATTATTGCATATTGTTCGTGTTTTAGTGATATAATAATAAGTTCATGATTTGATATTCTACATATGCATTATATTTTTTATTCTTTATTTATTCAACTCACAATATTTTTAGTGCATAGTTTTCTTATTAGTCAATTTTGTCTTGTTTAGGTTGATTCAGTATGTTCACATTGGTTTCGTTATTTTTAAGAGCAATGCATTTCTATTTTGATATTCAAGCAATTATTCATATTGATAGGTTTGAAGTTTGAGTTAGTAATTATATAGGTTTTTGTTACATTATCTCGTATCATTAGTTAATATTCTTTTATAATTGATATAAAAGATAATTCAAAATAGCGCTTGTAGGTATGTTTATTTTAGATTTTTTATGTCCTTTTCTTGTGTTATCATTTGTTGTTCATTCTCTATTCATTATTTTAGGTTACCTTATGTTATGTTTTACTTTTCATTCTTTTATACTTACTATTCTTTTTCATTATAATGTATTCACGTAAATTATTATATTTATGATATACATTTTTACTGAATTATAGTCATGCATCATTTCTAGTATCAACTGTGTTTAAACGTGTTCTGTTCAATGTATTACAAGTGTTTATGTTCACATATTCATCAATCATTCATGGTATATTTATCTAAAATATATCAGTATTTTATTATATGAAATTATGCTCTTCTTATGTTTTCATTTGTTATATATCTATTTTACCTATCATAGTTTATGTTTTTATGTATTATACATCTTTATTTATGTATATTTATGCTGATTATATTTTGATTTTTGACTACTATGCAATACATGGCTATATCTGAATTGATTTTATACAATAATGATTATTATTGTTGTATCTTGTTTATATTTATTATTTACCTTATGAGTATTACTAATATTTCTAATTTATCATATTGTTTGTCGAATATATATGATTATGTCATTCTTATTATGTTTTATATAATATGTTTATTTTGAATGACATGTTTAATCTTATGTCTATTTTATCATATAATATTTTGTGATTATTTCCATCATAATTTATTTTGTTAGCATGATTAGTACCATGAGTATTCAGACTTTTTATATGCTTATTATTATGTATGTGTTTTCATTTTAACGCTTATTATACATGATGATTATATTTGTTATACACATCATATGTTTCTGAATCTTGTTTATCCCTTTTGCTTTGATATCTTTTATTTTTATACTTTGATTTTATTTGTGTTTATTTGAACCTGACTATGATGTTGTATTATTTACTTTGTGCTATATAACTGTTTGTATTCTAATAATTATTATGTATCGTTTCAATTGGCTATTGATTATTATTATGATTTGCCTCTGTTGTTTGTCTATATGTATTGATGTGTTTCTATCTATATTTATTTCTTTTACTGAATGTTATTTTTAATTGTAATTATGTATGTTCTGTATACCTTATTATAATCTTTATTGTCCTTCTGCCTGATTTGTTCTGCATTCTTGTCTTATATCTTATGTTTTTCTAGTAATATTGTGTACTTCATTTGTTAACGACTCTTTGAATATCGATATTTATTTATTTGTATATCTGTATTTTGTACTTTCACTATTTATTATCAACATGTTCTATCTTTAATGTTTGTTATTTTCGATTATTATATCTATGCTTCTTTACGTACGTTTATGTTTTTGACTGCTTTAAACATATGTTGCTATAATACTATCCTTGAACCTTTTTAACATAATTGTAAATTTTTATTTTTTGAAATTTGTGCCTTATATGTCTTATTTGGTTGAATGTGATTTGCTGATTGCATTCATGTGTTTTGTTTGTAATTATACTTTTTTGTATACCTTGAATGTCTATTCTACTAACTGATTGTAATTTCTATTGTTATTTGATATTTTTATGTCTCTTATGTTGTCCATTATGTTTATCTAAACTATATATACGTTTGATTCTTTGCTATTTTACTTTGCTTACATAATCTTCAAATGTTTCTTTTGCTTTTGCTTGTATATGATTCATTTGTTATTTGTATTGTGATTTTATGTTTTTGTGTTTTATCATGTTTATCTGCTTACGTATGAGTAATTTATATTTTGTTGAGACCTTTTTATCTTTTATCTTCTTTATGCTCTTCTTCTAATTATTAGCCTTCTCTCTTGCATCACATGCTTGTGAAGTAGCATATTGTCAATATTACAAAATAAGTACAATACACTGTATTATAAAAAAGCTTATTGACAAATTATAAGCGAGACTGCCTCCCCCTTTAAAGTCGGGTAAATTACTGCTTCAAACATTTTATACATTTACATTAGAGAATTGTACAGTAGAAGTTAATATCATGGCTAAATATGCTTGCAATTTAAATAGCCAAGGGATCAATGTAATGTACCTTACTTGACTGTGCACCCAAATGAATGCGGATTCTAGATGATTTAGCTCCATGATAGTCTGAAATGAACTACATTATGACATGAGAATGGTACTGCCGCTACCATATTCTGACTTCAAAAACCAACCTTTTTTTCCTTTACAGAGTAAAGTTCTACACCCAGGAAATCGTATTTTTCCGTTAGGATCTGCTCTACAGAATGACACGGTCTTCTCTAATTCCTCCCTCAACTGAAGAAACAAGTGATCCTTTTGAACATGTGAGTTAACTACTTTCCTTACCTTCCATAAATAATAGTGAAAAATACAAGTATCACATTCTCAATCTTACTGTTCTTTGCAGCTTGTAGCAACCATCACTCATCAGAGTCATCTTTGCCCCTTGCCTCTCACTGTACAACCAATAATATGGAACTATGACCACTGCCTCCGTCTATATCCTACTCCACACACGGTATCAAATCTCTTTATCAGGTATCACACACAGCAAAGAAATGGAAATCCATTTGCAGGCCAATAATTTCTTTTGTTTTTTATTTTTTTCTTCAATAGATAGTGTTGGGAGATCAAAGTGAACAAAAAGCCTTTAAATATACGGGAATAACATGTTTCAATCCTGGATCATTCGCTCATGATAGCACATTTGCAGTCTATCGTCCTTGTTCTGAAGAAGTCAAGCTTTCTGCTGTGGAGGAGAATGACTAAAGTTGCAATATTATGGTCATTATTGATTATAGCATCTCATAACTCGATTCTTAATGAGGGATTCATGGGGAAATTCAGAAGTAGTACTAGCTAATCATATGATAGAGGATGATTATTGTGTCAATTGCATCATTTGTGTAACTTGACATACTTACCACTGCATTTCTAAAGAGAATATCTACGAACCGTTCTTTTCTAATTCCGGTACTTGTGCTTGCAAAGATGTATGATTAATCCATACTTAGACTTGTTGCCATTAGACCATGATCATGACTTTTTTCAATGGTTTTTGTTGTCAAAAGTATTTCTCGTTTTCTAATTCTGTTCTTTTTTAAGTCTTCCTCCTCTTTTTTTAATTTTATCTGACAGTGCACCAAAAAATATAAAGTGAGGAGGAAGAAAAATTAACAAAAAAGGAGTAAGACTAGACATAAGGGTAAGCTACAAATCTTCATTTTTGTGAGATAACTATTTTGAAGCGAATCGACAAGTATAGAGTTAAAACAGAGTAAGTTGGCCTTAGTTTTTGTATTAGGAATAGAGGGGCCTGACACGCATACACACAAAAAGGAAAAAAGGAAAAAAAAAAAGGGTAGATAATAGATAATCAAGATAAAAAAAAATAGCGATGACAATTATTACCCATAGAAAACGAGAAATACTTTTGACAACAAAAACCATTGAAAAAAGTCATGATCATGGTCTAATAGCAACAAGTCTAGGCATGGATTAATCTTACATCTTTGCAAGCACAAGTACCGGAATTAGAAAAGAACGGTTCATAGATATTCTCTTTAGAAATGCAATGGTTAGTATGTCAAGTTACACAAATGATGCAATTGACACAATAATCATCCTCTATCACATGATTAGCTAGTACAACTTCTGAATTTCCCCATGAATCCCTCATTAAGAATCGAGTTATGAGATGCTATAATCAATAATGGCCATAATATTGCAACTTTAGCCATTCTCCTCCACGGCAGAAAGCTTGACTTCTTCAGAACAAGGACGATAGGCTGCAAAATGTGCTATCATGAGCGAATGATCCAGGATTGAAACATGTTATTCCCGTATATTTAAAGGTTTTTTGTTCACTTTGATCTCCCAACACTATCTATTGAAGAAAAAATAAAAAACAAAAGAAATCATTGGCCTGCAAATGGATTTCCATTTCTTTGCTGTGTGTGATACCTGATAAAGAGATTTGATACCGTGTGTGGAGTAGGGTATAGACGGAGGCAGTGGTCATAGTTCCAGATTATTGGTTGTACAGTGAGAGGCAAGGGGCAAAGATGACTCTGATAAGTGATGGTTGCTACAAGCTGCAAAGAATAGTAAGATTGAGAATGTAATACTTGTATTTTTCACTATTATTTATGGAAGGTAAGGAAAGTAGTTAACTCACATGTTCAAATGGATCACTTGTTTCTTCAGTTAAGGGAGGAATTAGAGAAGACCGTGTCATTCTGTAGAGCAGATGCTGACGAAAAAATACAATTTCCTGGGTGTAGAACTTTACTCTGTAAAGGAAAAAAAAAGGTTGGTTGTTGAAGTCAGAATATGGTAGCGGCAGTACCATTCTCATGTCATAATGTAGTTCATTTCAGACTATCATGGAGCTAAATCATCTAGAATCCACATTCTTTGATCCCTTGGCTATTTAAGTTGCGAGCACATTTAGCCATGATATTAATTTCTACTGTACAATTCTCCAGTGTAAATGTATAAAATGTTTGAAGCAGTAATTTACCCGACTTTAAAGGGGCAGGCAGTCTCGCTTATAATTTGTCAATAAGCTTTTTTATAATACAGTGTATTGTACTTAATTTGTAATATTGACAATATGCTACCTCACAAGCATGTGATGCAGGAGAGAAGGCTAATCACTTCCAGTTCAGCAATTTCAGCATGTAATCAATGTCAATAATTCAGCAGGCTGGAGTCAAACCTGCAAGGATTGCTGGAGCAAATAGCATTTGGAACGTGCTTCTGGAGTTCGTCAGTTAGATATTTTGGTAAAGCACACCTTGGAAGAGCTTTTGAAGGTCCTGCATTCATCCAAGAGTACAAAAAGAAAATGATTTTGAATCATAATAAATTTCAGACTGAAATTAAGAGAAAGTGTGAAAATACAACTTGAAGCTGGTAAGACAGTAGTCAAAATCTAGAGGCGTCATCCTGGCATATTCAAAGGAATTTTCTACAATCAAAGAGGCTGCAAGATATTCAGTCTACTCGTTCAAAACAGGTAGGAACTTGTATATGATATATGGATATAGAACCAGATTTATTCAGATGGATAAAACTCACAAAATATCTCAAGTCAGAAGTATAACTTGGGCCAATATTTTTTTGGCTTACGTAGGCCATAAATAGAATATTATAAGGGTTATAAAGACCAACAAAGAAAATCTCAATAGAGTATTTGTTGACAAATTGCAATACATATAACTAGATTGCTAATGTCTGCAAAACTTGATATAAAGAAATTTCTAAAGAAAATAAAAATTGATAAGATAATACCTGCATCATCAGGACCTGGAATGAACAAAAATCGACTATGCTCTTTGATTCTTGGGTGAGATTCGATCATTTCCCCTAGCTTTCCAAATTGCATCCTGTATATCACATTTGCTAACCTCAGGCCTTCTCTTAAGATATTGTAGCCCTTAAACTATAAGGTGCTATAATTTCAAGGCTAGAAAAATAGATTAGGTGAATAACTGTCCTAACCTGAGACATGAAAATGAGTGGAAAGAAAGGTTGCAAGGGTGAGAGCAAAAATTCCCCATTAAAACAAATAAAGAAGGAACAACCTCCACACTTTCGTAATCATCCAAGACAAAAGCCAATTTTTCCATGGTCTTCTCTACGGGAAAAATAGAAATGACAGTAGTGAGAATTATTGCTAATTAACTTTAACCTGACAGCTAAAAGTTGCTAATCTACCTCATTATTATCCACCCATACATCTGAAAGAATGACAAACATGTCATTCATTGCCTTCTTTTCTAATGATGAGAGTCTGAGCTATTAGAAGTTAACAGGAAAATTCGTCAAGGAGATTGTACTAAAAGTCCGCAAAAAGTTTCTAGAGTTGTGTTTGTATGTGTGTGTGGGCGCGCACGTGTGTTTGTCTGTGTAGGCATAAAGAGGTAGTTATAGATACAGATATAAATAGATAGAGTGACTTATAATCTCTGCTGATTTTAGTTGTAGTTTTGTAGAAGACTTGTGTAAGGATACAGTTTCTTCAGTTGACAATATTCCACCACCAAAGAAATCAAGTCCCATTAGTAATGAAGTCGATGCATCTCTGTCCTCCAAATGTGGAAATCCACAAGTATTGACCTGCATCAAATCAAAACCAAGCATAATTATTAGGAAAGTTTGATGTAAACACAATGATCATCTAGAATATGTGAATATGACGATCCTTCAAAATAGTTACTTAAAAAGTTTGTACTGGCGATTAGTTAAATTCTCTCACGAAGGCCTATGTAGTGCCTACTCACAGTCAAACTAAGCAGGAATTGGCATCTGAAAGCTGACTATACTTACTTAGTGAGGTAAGTCGGTCACTGCAAATACAGAAATCATCAATACTTTAGGGTATGACTTATACAGTTATGTATAAATATTAACGTGGCTATTAAATTTTTTATTCAGGTAACAAAATGGAAAATAATTCAAACATATACCGCAACATGCTTCCAGCAAACCTGCGCTGCACAAATTGATTGTAGAATCAAAAGGATTCGGTTGAAAAGATAGGTTAATTTGTCTTCCAAGTTCCAACTAAAGAATTGGTGCAGAAAGATCTAATGCTCATGAACAATGCCTATCACATTGTATATCCAAATTCACATGTTCTTTAAAACTTGTATACCCAGAAGAGAGACTCATCTTAAACTTATAAAAGATTTGACATGCTTTAACTGTTGCTTGCATTGATAGCATTTGGAAAATTCAACATCACATTTAATGCAATAGCACTAGTTTTTAAGCAGGCTAACAGCTAACAAGGGTCTAAATCACCTTTGATTGTTGAACTTAAACTCATTAGTCATACACAAATTCAATCAAAACTCTATAGTCCCAGATTAGTGGTGAAACACCAATTTGCTTACCACTGTACAAAAATAGAACATTTAGTAAACATACAAAAGCCCACATAAGCATCAAAAAAGAGCTAAGTGGAACGCCCAACTATTTCAAAAAAAAAGGTAAACAAACTCAAGCCCAAACCACACCCAACTTAAATAAAAACCCTAGATCCCATTTCTCTCCTCACGCCGCCAATATCTCATTACCAAATCCCCCATTTCTCTCCTCACACCACCAATACCTCGTCGAAGCCTTCCCGACCCCCCTCGACCCTCGTCGAAGCCTCCCGACACACGTCGACCTTCGTCGAAGCTTCCCGACCTCGTCCCTCAAAAGCTCGTCGCCGACTCATCCCTTGAAGCTCGTCGTCGACTCCTCCCTCGAAGCTCGTCATCCCTTGAAGCTCGTCGTCCCTCGAAGATCGTCGTTTACTCCTCCCTTGACTGCCTTCCCTCCTTCAGGTTCGCAACTTCTTCTCCCTCACTCGTGAAATCGTCGTGTCCCTGCCATTTGGGTGCAAACCGTACCCAAACCGCACCCGACACAGGTACGACACCCATTTTGCCATGTCGGGGTAACATAGATCAATGATCATAGAATGCAAGATAATAGATCATGACAAACAGAAATGGTCATCCATTACCTGGTTTTCTTTTGACAGGTTGGTCAACACAAACTGGTATGCACTACTAGTAGTGTATCTCCATATGTATGTAGGATCAGACACAACAGACACAACAACATGCAGCACACACGTGCATGCGTTCTCATGTGCACATACAAATGCATCCCTGAGGACGTCCTATAGAGTTGATGGCTCAAGCTCCTCCCATCTCATTAAATTGATGTTGCCATGCGATATGATATGGCATATATTTCAAAAATAAAATAGAACAAGCACATCATGGAACTTCGCAATATGAAATAATGAGCGGACAATGGAGCTATAGAAGTTTGATGCCTTACTCGGAAATTGCCATTTGAAAGAAGCTCTCCTTCTGCAACAATGACAGTGTTCTCGACAAAGAATCCAGAAGTGATCTTGTGTTAAATGTTAAAGAAAAAAATTCCGACTCATGAAATCTTCTTTTCAGTTTAGAAGAAACGAAAGGGACAATTATGATGTATAACATCTAGTT